CTATTTTGTAGGTTGTCAGGGATGAAATGAGTTAATACTTACAAAACACTTAGAGCCTTTTCTGGTATTACAGTAAGTGCTCAACAAATGTTAAATATTGCATTAGGCACCTTCTGTCCCCATCCACACTTTCTGGGCGGTCTCACCTGCTCGAATAGCTTTAAATGCCATCTGTTACCCAATGGCTTCCAAACTTAAGTAATTGGTTTAGACTTCTCTTCTGAACTCCAGACGCCCTGTTTAACTGTGCACTGTGATGATGTAGGACATCTCACAGGAACACATCCACACCAGAGTCCTTGACTTTCCCCTGAAACCTGCTCCTCTGCTAATCCTTGCTGCCCCAGCCAGGACACAGAGCAAATATCCCACTTGCTTCCTGCCCTCCCAGGGCATGCAGAGCACATAGATTGTGCACCTTCCATACTGATGGAGGTTTCTACTGCACCAGCCTGAGCATTTGGAAGAAGTGTACATAGCTGGGGTGACCACCAGGGCCTCCTGATAGGAACTGCTCATACCAGTTGTGTGCCAGTGTGTTCCTGTAGGTCTGTGTGTGCGTGTTTGTGTACCTTGCCAAGTGTGGGCCCACGTGGCAGGAAGCACAAGCATGTTCTTTCCCCCCAGGTAATGAAGCTTCCCCAATCAGGTCTTGCTATGGGGTGAAAGTTCAGTTATCCTCAGGCAATCAAGCCCTTTCTCTCCCACAGGAAAGGGAAGCTTCCTTCTGGGCTGTTCTGGTGGGCGGGATAAAGGGCAAAGACTTCTCTGGTATCCTGCCCACCACTCCAATCTTCATCTCCTCCTCCCTACCCAAGAAGTCGACTTTCTGGGACGCTCCATTCAGCTTCCTTCTGCAGTATGGGCTTCTCTGGGATACTGACCTCTGAGGAAGGCAGTTGACTTGTTCCCTGATTCCCTTCCCTAGGGGCAGGGCGGCTGGAACCTCCAGTTCATGAACAGTTTGGTCGGTTGTCAAAGAGGGGCCTGGAATGAGAGGCAAAGGTTCGCTCCCTTTCCCTGCCCTCCCCCAACTCCGAAGCTTCTGAAGGGGCCCTCTCCTGGGAGTGGTCTTGGCCTCCCAGGACAGTTCTGTCTCTGGTGAACTGGAACTGGAACCTGATTCCCAAGGACCTGACACCAACCACCACGGGCAAGTCAGGCCCTCGCGGACCTTGGCCAGAGCCCAACCTTCTCTGCAGGCCTGGCGGCAACCTGAGCTTCTGTTTCGGACTTGACCACAGCCTCTCACAGGTCTGAGTGCTCTGTGGTGTTTAAACACACACACACACACACACACACACACACACACACACACACACACTCCACTTGTTTTGGGATCCTAAGGGAGGAGCTGCTGGGGAGTTCCTATTGAGGAGCAGGTCACAGCCACCCTACCAACCTCGCCAAACCAAACTGTCCGAGGAGGGCCCCAGAACCCTGGGAGGCAGGAAGGCACCTGGCTGGCCCTGGGGGAGGCTGGGACGTCGCAGAGCAGCGGCTCCACGCTCCAGCAGCTTCCAGGACGCACCAGGGACAGATTGGGACGCCCCTGCCACCCCGTGGGACCTCCCAGGGCACCTGCCCAAGGCCACCCAGTACGCTGAGGCCAAGGCAGAGCCGGACCTCCCAGCGGTCGGTCGGTGGGGGCGGTGACCGCCCGGGGCCTTCCCACGGCTCAGTGGCGCGTCACCGCGGGGGCGAGGGGGCGCCGGGGCGCCTAGGGCTGCGGTGCAGGAAGGGCCCTGGGAAAGGGCCGAGTAGGCGCCCCGGGGCGGGGCCGGGGCGGGGCCGGGGCGGGGCGGGGCGCGGCGGGCAGACTCAGAGCAGAGCACCCGGCGGTGGAGAGCTCGCAGCTTGCGCCCTCCATGAAGCGGCCCAGGGAGCAGAGGGGCTCTGACGGCGAGTCCGACGGACCCATCGACTTGGGCAGCGAGGGCCACCTGAGGTAAGGCCAGGGTGGGGGGCGCCTCGACCAGTTTCCGAGCAAGGACACTGGCCCCTGGGTCCCGCCTCTGAAGGGGCAGGTGCTCGACAGCTGGCAGGTGTGCGTGGGCGTGTGCGGGCGTGTGCAGCGTGTTGTGTTGCACAAGCGCGGGCGATTCCTGGATGTTCTGGGCTGTTTAGGGTTCTGGATGTTGAGATGGAGGTAGAGTTCAGCTCTGGGGTCTCATGGCCAGTTGGTGATGTTCTGTTGACGCCCCCGCCCCCTCGCAAGAAGGCCACTGATGCGTTTTCCTGAAGACATTAGGGAACCCCCATAGATTGTTGGTGCCACACTCCCTGTCTAGAACCTGCTTACGATGCAGAATAATCACACTTTCCCTATTTTACCTCGTTCAGGTGCAGTCTTCATGTAGTCCACAAAGCACAGGAAAGGAAATCTCTTGTCTTTTGAGCAAATTGGACTTTGGGAGTTGGGTTTGGGTATTGAGGTCGATACTGTCTGACTTGCAAGGACCTAGACTCCAATTCCGGTGCTCTGTCTTCCAAAACAACTTTGTTGGCAGTGTCCTTCAGCTCTTGGAAATATTCCCACCTCCTTCAAACCTGTAGAACAAACTGAGCTGGTACGGTTCTGCTACCCACCAGGTCTGTGAACTCTAAACTTCAGTTTCCTCATCTGCACAATGGGTATAAGCAATAGAACTGACTCAAGGGCTTAGCAAATGCTTTAAGGATGGCAGGGAATGTCTGGATACTACAGGCATGGGTTCCAGCTCCATCTCTGCTACCAACTCCCCTTGTAGCCAGCTTTCTCTCTCCTTCTTTCTCCTTTTCCTCTTCTTCCTCCTTGTCCTTTCTGGTGCTGGGGATGAAACCCAAGGCCTCACACATACTACACAAGTGGTCTTCCACTATGTAGCCTTGAGCTACTGGTTTCTCTGAGTCTGTCTCCTTACCAGTAAAATGTAAGAGGATGGATGTGGGAAGGGGAGAGCTGCCTCATCTCTCTTGCTCATTCAAATCTAACTTTCCAGAACAGAATTGGCAGGGGATTTGGTTCATTCTTAGGGGTGTTTTCTAAGGGCACTTTATGATTTCAGTGGTCTCCTGTTTTCTGAGATCGGGAGATCCTGGCTCAATCACAAACCTCTCTGGGGATATAGCTTAGTGGTAGAATGCTTCCCAAGCATGTGTAGGGCATGCACAGGGCCCTGGTTTTGATCCCCAGCACCATGAATAAATAAATTCAAAGTAAAACATCACCTACTACCAATTATTTGTAACTTATGATAGGGAGTAGGGCAATAGATATTCCTTTTACATCTTGTACATTAGGTTTTGGGTGTATAATATAATGTCCTATCACCAGATAAACCTTTTTAAATTTGTTTAACAGAAACTGCTATTTAGAAGGGAGAGTAGGGAGGGGAATGGGGAAAAAATAAGAACCAAGATATATCATGTAAAGGTACAAGATCCCAATGATGAATGTAACTGTTGTATACCTAAAATGTACAAATAAACTTAATGGGGAAAAAAAAAAAGAATCTGCTGTTTAGAGAAAGAAGTCTCTGAGCCTGTGACTACTAGCAGGGGATGGGTACAGCACCATGTGGTGGTGTAGAGGGAGCCTCAAATTCAGTGTCATCTGGTGCTCATGGATCAAAGGCACAAAATCAATGCCAGAGCACTAAGCTGATCAGAGCTGGCTTCTGTCTTCTGCCGGTTTGCAGCCTGGGCAGTGACTGCCAGGTCACACAAAAACTGGATAGAATAAAAGAGAGCCAGACTGGGCTGTGAGGGCACCTACATGGGAAGAGGTCTCTCACAACCAAATATGGCAGTGAGGGTTTCTCGAAGGTGTCACCGTTAGGGATAAGACATAAAGGGTCAATGGACAGTTTTTTCCTCTACAGCATTTTGCCATTGTAAGCCAGAGCCCATTTTTAGAGACTGTTCATAGAAGAGCAGACCGCTTGGAGGAGGAAAAGCAGTTGGACATCTGGCAGAGGCTGACTTATAGATGCCTCTTTGTGGCACTCCCCAAAGGGCCCTCCCCCCACCGGACATAAATGGTTCAATTCAGGGGCTGCTGAACGATGCCTGCTGTGGCCCAGACCCTGAGCTGGCATCAGGGCCCAGATGTATCCTGCTAGGCCTCTGCCCTCGGGGAACTCCCAGGGAAGAAGAGCTTTATGTACAGAGAAAGCCACATAAACAGTGACAAGGGCCACAGGGCTGGGGCAGCCAGCCATCTCAGGGTCAGAGGCAGGGCATAAATGCCCCACACTCAGAGACAGGCGAGCAAGAGCAGGCGGTGCTCAGTTGCCACCATGGAATCTGTTTGATGCTAGCATCTTGCCCCATCTGTGAGAATCACCACAGAGCTCCTGGCTGCACCTGGCCCTCTGATGCATGTTGGGTACAAACAGAGTACAGCTTCTTCTTTAACCGTCTGCAAACCCTAACCCTAACCCTAACCCTAATCAGCACCAGTCACATGCCAGACTGTGGGGCAGGTCTGGGTGTTTGCCATATGATTTAAGGCACATGGTGGCCTTTGAAGTCAGATAGATGGGAGTTTGGCTCTCTCCAATTTGTGCAAGCAACTTTGTACCTCTTTCTGAGCCTCAGTTTCCTTTCCTACAAAATAGAGATATAAATATCTGCCTCCCAGGGTGAGACTTTGACGTCATTTGTACATAAAGCATATAGCTCCTTCCCTTGGCCCAGGGGAATTTCCAATACATGCTGCTTTCAAAGGAGTGGAGGGGGCGACATACCTGCTGGTCTGAGGTAGCAGGGTCTAATGAGACAACTAGAAGTCTGAAGACTGGACTTACTGGGTTCATTCTTAACTCTTTTGTGTTTGTCACTCTACCTATAAAATGATTATTTTTTCCTAAAAATGAAATGGCCCAAATAATACCTTACAGGCCCATATGCAATGAATGAGACAAATGGATGTAGAAATGCTGTCTGAAACAAAAAGTACTGGCTATGAGATACACATGATGGACTCGTGAATGTTTGGGATACATTGGCAAGACCACTGAATGAAAAGGCAGTAGCTTTGGCTCTACTTCTGGATTCTCTTCTCATTTGGCCTGGGGGAGATCCCTTTCCATCTCTGAATGTTCTTATTTGGCAAATGGGCTCCGTGCCCTCTGAGATCTGTTCATTTGGGGCATTTGGAGTCTGCCTTTGGTTGATGCAAAATGAGTGGGGTCATAGGCCAGGGCTCCGTGGGGGAGTTCCCAGGTGGAATCAGCACTGGGGGTGTTCAGGATTGGCAGCCAGACCACTTGGAAAGCCATCTCGGCCCCAGAGACTGCCCTGAAACTCTGGCTGGGGCCTGAAAGAGGCCAGTGGAGCAGGTCTTGGTGGTCACTGTATCCTTTCGGGTCTGTGAAAATCTGCCTTATTTTCAGACTGTCAGGGGAGAGGCTTCCACCCCTCCTCCCAAGATCAGGGCCAGATCATAGGCTGAAGTGAGTGCTGGCCAGGAGCTTCGAGGAGAAGGAGACTGGAGAACTATTCAGACAGACAGGAAGTAGGACTTAAAAGGGAAAACAATGCTGAATTGGGAGCCAGAAGACATGGGTTCTCATGCTGCCTTTGCTCCTTTGCAGCTGCATGGGCTAGGCAAGCTGAGTTAGCTCCCTGAGGCTCAGCACCCTCATCTGTGAGATGGGACCTTCATGAGGCTCAAAGGTGAGAAACACATGTAGTGGTGCCAAGAAATTTATAAAGTGAGCTTTTCCTGTGAGATATAAGGGAGAGGTAGATGCTGCTGCAGAGAAAAACAGGCCAGAAGAAGGAATAACAGACCTGCCTTGCCCTGAAATGGGCGCATCAGCCTCTGACAGATGGTCCCTGGGGAGGGGTCCGGCTGAGAGCAGTGACGCACACACGGATAACCCAACACCCTGAGAGGAGCTTTATCCAACAATGGGAAACAAAGGGCACATTTCTTAGTGTGCCTTGGCTCTTGAGGCTTGTCCCCAGTGAACCAGGGAAGCTTTTTAAACAAGCTGCCCTACAGATCTCAGGATCTGGCCATCTGAGCTCTGGACCTAGCTGGCTGGGGCTTGCCTCCCCAGAGCTTTCCCAAGTTTTTTGCCAGCTCTGCTTGTCCAGATGTTTGGGTTGAAGATACCCTTTTCCAGATGTGGCCAGACAAAGCCAGGGCACAGCAGTAGGATCCAACAAATACAATCTGGTCTCTCCTTCTCTCTTTGAGGTGTTGATGAAAATGATCCAGCCTCAGATGCAAAGAAGATACCCACATGGGCTGACACCCTCCTAGTGAGCCACATATGCCCCTATTCCACAACGGCCTAGACTATAGATTTTATGGTGTTTGCAACTGTGTTCTTCAGTATGCCAAAGGCAAGGGCAGCAGGAGGATGCTCTACCATGGCTCTGCCATGCCCCAAGCACTTGCTGAGGCCTGGGATGACAACAGTGAATGAAACTGATGTGGTTCATGGCCTCATGGGGCCTATGGATTTGTTGGAGAAATAGACATTAATCTAATAACCATATGAGTACAAAAATAACTAACTGGCATAAATGCAGTGAATGCAGAAGGCTAGGAGTCTTGAGCAGGGGACATCTAGTAGGAAGGTAGATGCCAGAAAAGGCTCGCAAAGGAGGGGACATTTGAGTTGAGATCTGAGGGGAGAGGGAAACAGTAGCAGTGTGTGGAACTACAGGAAGGAGGTGATACACTCACAGGTCGGAGCATGCAGAGCAAGCCAGATTTGGATCTGAGAGGTGATGGGCCAGCTGGTCCACCTGAAGGATGGTGGCCTGAACACACTGGGAAGCCACTGAGAAGTTTTAAGAGTGACAAGGTCAGGCTTGCATTTAAATGACCATTGCCTGCAGAGGGACCAACAAGAGCCTGTTGCAGTCTTCTAGGTGAGAGAACTGTGGTCCTGAGAGGGGTTATGGACATAAAAAGGACAGACATGAGAAGTATTTTAGACATGACTGGGTTTTGATGTGAGGGTGAGGACAGAGGAAGAATCAAAGACAGTGCCAGTGTTCTGAAGTGGGGAATCCAGGGCATCAGGAAGCCAGTAAGGGGTTAAAGGCAAGGTCATGAGTTCCTGTTCAGATGCGTGCCCTTTGGCATCCAAAATGGCAGGGGAGGCATCTCGTCCAAAGCGATGGAGCTGAGCGAGAAAGGGCTGGGGCCCTGGGGCTAAATGGGGTTTCCCGGGCTCAAGAAGGATGCCTTAGTGCTGCCTGGCGAACTTCTCCGTTCTGAGGGAGCCTCTGGAACAAACATCCCTTGAGAGGTCTAGCAGTCAGGCTGGAGATTATTTTGGTCAAAGTCTGGGCAGGAAAGCTTCTTCTCCGTTGCGAGGCTCCTGGGTGGGGGCTATCATCCATCTTGCCGCCAGGGCTGCAGAGGAAGGGCCTCGGTGGGAGGGAGGCCGAGGTTACAGGCCAGGACTTCTGGGAGGTCAGAGCGAGTCCCAGAGCGTGCGAGAGGGGCCGGTGACCCAGATGCCGCCCCCTCGCCCCCGCCGCACCGCGTGGGAGGAGGCGGCAGCTGCAGGCCGGGCGGAGGGCGGAGGGCGGAGGGCGGTGCGCCGGCCCGTGGGAAGCGGCGGCATCTGCTCTTTCCACGCTCCTTCCCGGCGGCTCCCTGTGAAACCCAAGCCGCCCGTCCCAGCCCGGCCCGTGCCCTCCGCCGCCCGACCCCCTGGATCGGGTTGCAGGACCCGAGGGCCGCTCTGTGGTTCGCGGTTGCTTGCTCGAGGGCCGCCTCCGCGAAGGGACTGGGCCAGGCCAGCAGGTCAGGTCTGAGCCAAGATCGGACCTCGGGGTGGCGCGAGGCTGGGACGGGAGGCTTGGGGTGATGGGAGGACGTGGCCCGAGGAGAAATGGGCCCCAGGGAGAAAGTGGGAGCAGGCGCCTCTCCCACGACAGCCCTGCGGTACTGCACAGCCGAGAGCCTGCAGCCCCAGACGGTGCCTCCCACAGCCCGGCCTCTCAGGTCAGCTCAGGCCAGGGATGTGGCCCCCAGCTCTGAGAAACCAGCCTTTCTCTTCCTCTCCAGCCAGATGGCCAGGCCGCTGTCCACCCCCAGCCCTTCGCAGATGCAGGCCAGGAAGAAACGCAGAGGGGTGAGTGTCCGCCCTTAGGTTTGCCCTGAGTCCCCTGGGGTCTGGCCAGGGAAACCTGATCAGAAGCAGCACCCAAGGTACCTAGACCTGCCTGGGTTCGAATCCTGACTCTGCCAATGACTGTCTGGATGACTTAAGGCAAAGTGCTTAACCACTCTGAGCCTTGATTCCTCCTGGTGTAACTGGAGTAAGGACCAAACCTAAGGCAAGCTGAAATGAGTCAGTGCAATGCTTTCTGAGCAAAACTCAACACAGAGTAGCCTGATTACTTTCGTCCAGCTTCCCCTTCCACCTTATCCTCTGTCTCTTCTCTGAATCTAGAACTTTCCTTGGTCTAAGGAAGGGGAGGCAGATGAAAGAGGTACCCTACTTACTGCTCTCCATCTTTTTCTTTTCTTTTTTGCACTGTAATAGGGATTGAACTGAGAGCCTTCACACTGAGCTACATATCCAGCCAGTTTTTATTTTTTTATTTTGAGACAATGTCTCATTAAGTCAGTAAATTGCTCCCACAGGGCTCAAACTTGCCATCCTCCTGCCTCAGCCTCCCAGAATACTGGGTGGGATTACAGGCTTGTGCCACCATGCCCAGCTGATTGCCACTATCCATCTTATCCACCCTGTCTTTCCCCTTTGCACACTGGGAGTCTAGAGACCCAAGACCTGGCAGAGCGCAGCTGCGCTATGCACTTACCATCAGCCTTAGGCAGACCCTTGCACCAACATTCTGCTACCAGAAAGGGGGTTTGCGGTGGATGAGGCCCCTGCAGTGGGAAAGAGCAATACCTAGGGCTCTCAGACCCAGCAGCTAAAGGGGTAACCCTAGACCAGCTGGGGTCCCTAGGGCACATGCTGGTGGTGTGGCTGGTGTCCCCATTCTGATTGGATGGTGGCCTGCTGTACCAGTGGCTGAGCATTTCACATAGCATCCTACAGACCAAGACAAGAGATCTGAATTCTCCTTCCAGCTTGGCACTTTCTTGCTGTGTGACCTTAAGCACATTACTTGTTCCTTGCTGAGCCTCAGTTTCTTCTTCCCTAAAGTAAGACTAGATTAGCTCCCTCATGAGAAAATATAGTGTGGGAAAATACAAGTCAGTGTCCATCAGGGCATGCTGGAACCGATGTGCTTTTGTGTAACTTTTTGTCATTTTTCAGATCATAGAGAAACGGCGCCGAGACCGCATCAATAGCAGCCTTTCTGAATTGCGGCACTTGGTGCCCACCGCCTTTGAGAAACAGGTATTTCCAGTTGTGCTACAAGTCCTGAGTGGGTGACAGATACGGCTTGTTTCTCGTGGAATCTCTTATTGATGGGTAGTGGCTGCTGAGGTGCCATCTGTCACTGGCCAGGAGACAAGGAGAATGGAAACTCATACTCAGATGTCTCGGGTGTTGTAGCTTTATGTCTGACTTGTATCCATTTGAGCTGAATTCTAAATATAAACCTGAATTATAGAAGTTCTGCCAATTGCAGGTAAGGAAAATGAAACACAGAGTCACAAGTACTAGAAATTGTACTGAATCAGGGCCGGGGATTTAGCTCAGCTGCATAGTACCTGCCTGGCAAGTGCAAGGTCCTGAGTTCGATTCCTGGTACAAAAAATAAATTGTACCTTGCCAGGGATCTAGCTCAGTGGTTCCACCACCTGCCTTACAGGCACAAGTTCCCAAGTTCGATCCCCAGTACCAAAATAAAATTGTACCAAATCACACAGCTAGTAACTCGCAGAGCATAATTGGAGCACAAGACTGTGTGACATGTCTCCTGATGTTTCCAGAACTATTTGAAAGTGGAACGGGCTGATCAGGGAGTGAGCACTCTGTCATTGAATATGTTGGGTGGGGAGATTACACTGGGGAGTCAAACGGTTGAGTGAAAAAGCCTCAAAGATTCTTACCCTATGCCTCCAGGGTCCCAGGTTGTCTACCTTCCCTTAGACAGGGAGAAAAAGTCAATCAGTCACTGATGTTTACTAAAACCTCCATGGGACCAACCACGAACTAGACCTGTTGTCTACCCTCAAGGGGCTCACATGGAAAGTATGGCTCTGAGGCTTCCCCTGGGAGGCCTGGTGGTCCTGGAGGCCTAGGAAACATTTCATAAGAGAGACAAAGGAAGAACATATGCTTTGGGGCTGAGGTGGTGAACTAGGTCTTGGGCCCGCAGAGGATGAAGTTGGATTCCCAGGGGAGCTGGTCCAGGAGGCAGGTGGGTGGTGAGGGAAGAAGACGGGGATGTAGACAAGACCCTCTGGGGAGAGCATGCAGAGCAAGAAGAGAGGTGGGCCAACACATATGGAGCAGCACTGTTTTTAAGGAAAAGGAAGAGGCAAAGGGAAAGGGAAAGAAAGACACAAGTGGCATCATGGCAGGGGTTTCAGGAGGAAAGCTCAGCAGTGCAGTGGACAGGTAGACTGAGATGAGAACCAAAGCATCTTTCAGATCTGGAGGTGTCAGGCAATGGGAGGAAGGTGAGAATGCAGATAGGGAGGCTCATGACAACGGCCGGGCGAGGTAAGCTGGAGTCTGCACACTCTGCCTTCTGTACTCACAGGGCTCTTCCAAGCTGGAGAAAGCAGAGGTCTTGCAAATGACGGTGGATCACTTGAAAATGCTCCATGCCACTGGCGGGACAGGTACGGATGCTCTTCTCTCTTGGGAGTCATTTATACACGAAGTATCTTGAGGCTGGGCCCTGAGGATCCACTAGTGAGCGAGGCAGATGTGGTCCCTGCCCTGCTGGAGCTCAGTCTCCAAAGGGGCTGAAGCAGGCCTAGGTGAACGTTTGCTAAGCTCATCTCTCTTAGCCTCTCTCTCTCCACTTTGAGCATGGCCCTTGGCCCCAACCCTTCCCCCAGTCAGCTCCTCCCAGTCTTGAACCTACTTCTGTGTGACAGACTGTTCTATGTGCCTACCCCAGGGCATCTTAAGGAGTAGCCTGAATTGGGCTGGTGATGTAGCTCAGCTGTGCAGCACCTGCCTGGCAAGCATGAGGCCTCAAGTTCAATTCCCAGTACCAAAAAAATAAAAGTAAAAAAAGCTGGGAATGTAGCTCAGTGGAACCACGCCTGCCTGGCAAGCTCAAAGTCCTGAGTTTGATCCCTGGTACTGGAGGGAAGAAAAAGAAACAGCCTAAATTAGCTCTTTCTCCCTGGCCTCCCAGCCTGTGTCCAGTATGGGCCCCAAGGAGGGGACCTGACCAGGATTTCTAGCCACTGATATTTCTTTGGTGTCTCTACCCACTGGCCTAGACTCCTGTACTACTGTATCCATTTCAGAGCTAGGGGTGTGTCGAGCTCACGCCAGACTATTATAGAATACAATGTCACTCATGCCATTATTGCATTAGTCCATTACAATAAAATCATGGAACTGTGTGTTTAAAAAGACTTCCAGACAAATGGGAAATCTGTCTTGAAGCTTCTCTGTGTTAGGTGATTTTATAGTTGGGGAATCTTGAAAGTGGCCACAAAGATAACTGCTGTGACTTTTTAAAATATATGGTTAATGTTTAAATTTTTAAAATATATTACAGTAAAAGTCAAATTGCCATTAATCCCCCATCATTCTTGCCACTTTCTGAAGCAGTTCTAGAAGTCCTTTCTTGTAAGAATCTTTAGTTGTGCCGTAGTGGCTGTCTTAATATCCTGAAATTATTCAAAATGTTTACCTCTCATGGTCATTTTGACTTTGCAGGAGAGCCACAGGTCACATGGTGGCAGATCTGGTGTGTAAGGTGGATGGATAAGGATGCATTGTAATGTTTTTATGAACCTGTGTTTCCATGGGATAGCACACGACAGCAGCATTCACTGTATTTTTTATTACACCTTGTAAAAATATGAAAGACTTTCAGAAAGTGGCAAGAATGATAGGATAAGTGTGTTATAAGTGAGGGAGAGTATATTGATGGAGATTAATGGCAATGTGTCCTTTACTATAATAAATTTTTAAAATGCCAACTTCAAGCTGGGTATGGTGGCACACCCCTATAATCCTAGCACTCAGGAGGCTGAGGCGGGGGGGTCACTGTGAGTTTGAGGCCAGCCTAGGCTATATAGTGAATTGAAGGCCAGCCTAAACTATATAAGGAGGCCCTGTCTCAACAAAATAAAGCAAAACAAAATAAAAATTCAACTTCATCTTTTTTTTTTTCGGTACTGGGTATCGAACTCAGGACCTTGCACTTTCAAGGCAGGCGGTGGAACCACTGAGCTAAATCCCTGGCCCTTTCATCATATTTTTTGATCACCCCTATAAGTCCCAAAGACAATTTTCTACCCTGGAAGAGGACAGTTGCATTTTGAAAGGCCCAGCCTGGTACTTCTCAAGCTGTAGCATGCAGCCATATCCCTGGGAGCAGGCAGAGTTATGGCCACCAGCCTCTCCCCACCCCAGGGTTCTGAGGCAATAGGTCTGGCTTGGAGATTAGGAATTTGCAGAGTTTGACAAGCCTGCCTGATAACCTTGATGTAGATCATCCTCATGAAACTTTCCACCAAAGGAATGCATTGCTGTCCGTGGAGATTTCTGTGTCGAAGCATCCAGAGGGGGACATGTTTCAAATTACATTTGTGGTTACCTTATTAAAAGAAGTGATTAATATATGGGCAGCATTTTATAGCTTTCAAAATGCTTCCGTTTATGTTTTCTCCTTTGATTCTTACAAGAATCTGGAAGGTGAGGTTGTTCTTGTCACTACTGTCTGGCCCAGGACTAACAGGAAGATAAGAATTAGTAGTTTAGAGGAGCACAGAGTATGGACTTGAATCCTGGCTCTACTATTTATTAGCTTTATAACCTTAGACAAATGATTTAACCTCTATTCCTCAGTTTTTGCATCCCTAAAATGGCAATAGCAGGGCATGGGGGTCCATGCCTATAATCCCAGCACGCAGGAGGCTGAGGCAGGAGGATAGCAAGTTTAAGACTAGCCTGGCCAATTTAGCAACTTAACCAGACTCTCTCTCAAAATAAAAAATAAAAGTTGGGTGTGTAGCACATACCTGTAATCCAAGCCCTCGGGAGGCTGAGGAAGGAGAATCATTTTGAGTTCAAGACCAGCCTGGGCTACATAGTAAGTTCAAGGCCAGCATGAACTCATAGCAAGACCCTATCTTGGAAGGGGGGTAGGGATATAGCAAAGTGCAAAGGCCCTGGGTTAAGTCCCCATTATAGAAAATAAAATAAGTAGCAAACACTGAAAGGTAAGGGAATTTATGCACAATAGCCCAGCTAACTATACAGCAGGTCCAGGTCTCATCTGAAAGTTGGCCTGACTCCAAATATAACTGTCCCTCTGGGGGACCTCAGCCATGAACCCAGGACCAGTTTTTGCTGCCACAGTCATGAGGCCATGCTGGCTGGGCCTGTTTGCCAAGAAGTAGTGCAGAGAGGAGCAGTGAGTGTCAGCGCCTTGTGAGGGCCACCTGGTCCCTCACTGACATCAGGCCAAAGAGAGTGCTGGTCTGAGGGCAGCAGCTGAGGACCAGCAAGGGGGTCTGGCATCCCAGGCTGCCTTTGGAACCAGGGGCAAAAGCCAGGTGTAACAAGAGGCAAGGCAATAATGTAAGCAACAGCTACCTCTTCATTTATGTAGCATTTTCTTGTGTGTTATTTCATTTCACTCTCACAGCTCTGTGCAGAGTGTGCTATCCTCTCCCCATTTCATAGCTAAGTAAATTGAGGCACAGAGAGATGCAGACACTTGTCCATGGTCAGGCCTCTAGTTAAGTGACAGGGCCAGGATTTGAACCCGACTTCCAAAGACCTCATGCTTCACTGCTACACAATGCTACCTTCTCCAAGGGATTTCCGAACTCTTGTGGCTGTTGTCACCATCTCCCCTCCCCAAGTCTGCTCCCATCAGCAGGTGGGGTTTATTCTACACCTCCACATGCACACCCTTTTCACACCTGGCAAGTGTCTACTTAATGACATTGTCTTGGCCACTGAGTTTCTCCTTTGCATCATGAGTTCTCATGAAAACAGTACATTTTTATAGCTCCAAGTTCATAGTTTAGTGAACTCATTTGATCCTCACAATTCACCATCCTCCATCCCAGACAATTTTTATTTCCATTTTACACTTGGGAGATGGGCCTCGGAGAGGTATAGGGACAGGGCCAGGGTCACCGAGGGAATGAGTGGAAGGGGCAGATCCAGAACGCAGACTGCCCAGCCCAGGCTCTGCGCTTCTCCCCTGCTCACCATGCACTCATGGTGCCTCGCATTGCAGGATTCTTTGACGCCCGAGCCCTCGCAGTTGACTTCCGGAGCATTGGTTTCCGGGAGTGCCTCACGGAGGTCATCAGGTACCTGGGGGTCCTGGAAGGGCCCAGCAGCCGTGCAGACCCTGTCCGGATTCGCCTTCTCTCCCACCTCAACAGCTACGCAGCTGAGATGGAGCCTTCGCCCATACCCAGCAGCCCCCTGGCCTTGCCTGCGTGGCCTTGGTCCTTCTTCCATAGCTGCCCGGGGCTGCCGGCCCTGAACAGCCAGCTCGCCATTCTGGGAAGAGTGCCTAGCCCTGTGGTCCCCAGCACCTCCTCTCTTGCTTACCCCATCCCAGGCCTCCGAACCACACCCATGCGCAGAGCCTCTGGAGCCATCCTTCCAGCACGGAGGAATCTGCTGCCCAGTCGGGGGGCATCTTCCATCCAGAGGGCTCGTCCTCTGGAAAGGCCAGCTGCCCCTCTCCCTGTGGCCCCCAGCAGCAGGGCTTCCAGGAGCAGCCACCTCGTTCCCCTCCTGCAGTCTTCCTCCCCCACACCCCTTGGTGCTATGGGGTCCACTGCTAATGTGGCTGTTCCCGTCTCCAGGGCATCTTCTGAAGCACCAGCTGGGAGGCCTTTGGGAGCTGCGCTCTGCCGCTCCTGGGCCTCTGAAATCACTGAAATTGGTGCTTTCTGAGCTGCCCCCCTTCCCCCAGGAGCAAGGAAGCTCTAAAAAATGACACTACCCTTTCTGCTTTTGCTCCCCAGACAGGCTCTTCTGTTAAGGCCCCTTCCTCCTCCTCTGCTGACCCAGTCTGTCCACCTGGCTCCTCTCCCCTGGAGTTGATCTGATCCCAGAGGTTTGGTCCCATTTCTCACCTGTGCAGTGAGTCATGGTACCTCACGAGCCCCTACGAACTGTGCCCAGCCCCCTCTCACATCCAGTACGCATGGATCTTGGGTCTGAGGTCAAAGAGTTAGCATAAGGATCCCTTGGCTGGAGGCAGGCTGCCTCATATCCCGGAGACAGTAACTGAGCAAGGGCCACAACAGGTTTCTTGGGCACCCTGCCTGGCCCTGCCTGACTATCTTTGGCCACCGCACTCTCCACTGCAGCCCAGGCTGGGACCCTGGGGGCCCAGCAGGAGCGGCTGCCACTCTCCTGGTGCAGACATCAGCCCTCCTGCAGACCAGCAGACCCCTGCCCCAGGCTGGCTTGACCAGTGAGGCCAGGAGGTTTCTGGGCAACAGCAGAGCTCTGTGACAGGATGTCTGTCATGACTGCCAGGCCACAACAGCACTGCCGGCCAGGAGCCAGGGATGAACAAGCAAGGAGCACTCAGCTCCCTGCCACTGGCAGTCACCATCCTCCCTGTGTGTGGTCCCGCCCCGTGGGGTGCACAGTGCAGACCTCCACAGCCCACGTGGGCATCCTCTTGGGATTCAGCACCAGACGCCTGAGCTGCCTGTTTTGCATCGGCTTGCAGAGCCCAGACTGCTGCCACAGCCAAGGGCTGTCATGCTGGACAAAAATAACTGTGAGGAGGGCTAGGAGGAAGAACAATCCGAGGCGGCTGGGCCCTTCAAGGTCACACCGAAGGTCAAGGGCCTGAGATCCTGTTCACCCAGAGTCTGCACACTGGCTCTGCTCAGAAGCTGTTTCATTCCACAGCTCTGCCTTAGGCCACTTTCCTCTAACGGAAGAACAAAGGGCCTGGTGTCCATTCCTAGTGGAACAGCAGAGACTGGAGCGACATTCGGGGTTGCCACATTAGTTGACAAAGTGCAGAAACATTTCTGTACTCATTGGGGAGGACCCCACCCCCACCCTGTGCTTCTGAGTGCCGCAGGCACTGGGCATTTTCCCTGGGACCACCACCATATGGTTAATGCCCAGTGGACCCAAGGCTTTGGGTTCCCAAGCTGACCACTCATTAGCGCTCATGCCACACTGGTTATTAAATACTCTCCATGTCTCCGACCCAAGGCTCTCTGACCCCCAGCCTTTGATGGCTCCCACTCTCCTCAGGCTACAGTAAGGAGGCTCCTTGCAAACAAAGGTAGTTTACAAAACCCTGGGGCAAAGGGTCCTTTCAGAGAAGTGGGGCAGAGGGCAGAGGTTATTTGAGTGATCCAGAAAGCTCTTTTTAAAAGCAAGTTGCTCAGGAAGGACTAAAGAGGTAAGTACTCCTTTCATTTTTTAGCGAGGAGAGCCAGCTTGATCAGATGCAGTCCTGTGAACCCACCTGAGATGGGCGACAGCAAGGCAAGAGGGCCTCGCTGCAGAGTGGCTTATGGCAGGGGCTGCCCCTGAGAGAGGAGAAAGTGAGGGGAGCACAGTCACAGAGGCACCCAGGAGTTGGAAGAGGGGACAGGAAATGACAGAAGGCAAAGACCAGTCTCACCTGTCTCAGGAAGGAGCTCACTCAGGACAGGAAGAGGAAGTGCCCCCTGCTCCCCTCCCCCTCCCCACCCTGACCCTCCCTCTCCTCCTATCCGCTGCTCTCCAGCTGCTCCCTGGATCCCAGGGTGCCCTGCGGACCTGCAGTTTGGTGACCTCCTAGCCTGAGAGCCTAGCCAGGCCGTGGGAGACACATTTCCATGCTGCAGGTACCCAACTCTGAAACAGTCTGCTGACACTATTAAAAAGAGTTGGAAATGGCCCGGCACTTTCAGGGTTTTGCTTGGTCTCAGGTTTGTTCCCCTGAGAACTTGGTGGAAAGGTGACAGTGTGTTTGTTCCCAGCAGATGGGGTCTTGAGTCCTCTGTCTCTGTTCTCAAGCCTCCGTGGTACCCTGACTCTCCCCACGCCACCACAGGGGTGTTGCAGCCAATAAAGATTTAGTTCTTCTGGAAACCTCCAGTAGATTCTACGTAAAAATCTCGGGAGTCCATCCACTTGCAAGTCCCCAGCCACCATGCTGACCGGCCACATCTCTTCTCCCCTAGAGCACTGTCTCAGCCTCCACAGACTCTTCTAGCCTTGCCTCTTGGTCTGTCAATCAGTTCTTAACAAGCACAGAGAACCTGAATCATGGATCACATCATATCCACACTTCCTCTTTTTTTCCACAGATAGAATCCAAACTCTTCCTCTTTTGTTCCCAGTTCCCGACCCTACTTCAAGCCTCATTTCCCTCCAGGCCCAAACTTTTACTGCCACTTCTGCCCTCCTACCTTGCCTTTATTTCCTCACTATTCCAACCTTGCTCCCTCCTCTAGCAGCACCTCAAATATGCTGTTCCCTTCACCTAGAATGCTGTTCCCTGCCCTAGGCATGGCTAGCATCTTTGAACCCTCATGTCTTGGCTTAAATGTCACCTCTTTAGAGCCTTCCCTAACTACTATCCTTTAATAGTTAATCAATCTCAAAGGTCCCCATTTTTCCCTTTCCTTCTTGGGGTGTTGAGGACTAGGCTACATAACTCAGATCTCACAGTCTTGAGGTGGGTGTTATCTTGCCCCAGAAACAAGGAAGTATGTCAAAGGCTGTATGCCCCCTGGCTATGGGTAGAATGCAGATAACCCAGGACTCCTGAGGCAAGACAGCATCTGCTGAGGACAGTTGTCAATATACTGGCATTTGCCCTTAGAGAAAATCTGGTCCCTCATTAACTTAATCATTATCCACCCATTCTCTGTAGTTGCTGTTCCATGAAACACATGCTACCCCTCCTTCTGCACTTCTCACTGGCTAATAAAAGTGGGCCAATGCCAAGTTTTATTTGAGTCTGTCCACTAGAGACAGTCCTCCTCCTGGCCCCCCTTTACATCTTGAAAATTGTCCATCTCTTTCTTTTTATTCCTCGTCATTCTCCCCAAAAGGTAGCTGAGGGTCTGATCAGCCCTCAGTATCGGGGAGTTTGCCACTGTATATCCACTTGCGTGTTTCCTCACTGGCTAACTGCCCCATCCACTAGAATGTGAGCTCTTCGAGGCTGGGGACCACTTTTCTCTCTGTACCCAACACCAAGCACGGTGCCGGGCTCATCATCATCAGTATCCAGCTGGTGAGATGGGCGTGAAGAAGGCCCTCTGCAGTGAGTGAAGGTGGGTGAGCCTGGGCAGTAAAGGCAGACTTCATTACCAAACCCTGATTAGTGAGCTGTGGCCTTGAGCAGGTTCCTTAACCACCTTGAACTTCAACTTTCTCATCTGTAAAATAGGGAGAATACCGTAATGGCTGCTGCTAATTGAGCAGTAACTGTACCAGATATTCCTCGAGGCTTTCCTTGGAATGTCCCCCTTTTCCTGGTAGGAAACCAAGCCAAGGCACACTCTCATCTTGTCAGGTGTGGAGCGAGTGACACGACACCCACCCAGCCTTCCAGGAGGATTGCTGCAAGTTCAAGACCAGCCTGAACTGCATAGCAAGGCACTCGCTCTCTCTCGCTCTCTCTCTCTCTCTCACACACACACACACACACACACACGCACACACACACGCACACGCACATGCACACACGCACACGCAGAACCACTGCGCAGGCCTCAAAACTATGATTTAACTGATCTGGGCAGGGCTCAGGAATTTCATTAGGAGGCATGAAGAGAAGAGATGGGATTTCTTTCCAAGTCAGGCAGATTTCCATTCAGTAGATGAACTCCAGCATAGGAGCCTAAAAAAGACTGATGCTTTCTGGGGTGCTAAGCAGAAATTAATTTCCACAAGGCCCTCTCTGTCTCCTGGCCCCTCTCCTAGGCCCTGGCCCATAGTAGACAACTAGAAACCTGCTGTGCATCTAAGGTTTGAGTACGGTTTGTCTCTGTAAGGGTCCCTAGTGATGGAAGGTGTGGTCCACAGGGTGGCTCTGTCCAGAGGCAGTAGCATCTTCAAGACATGGGCGGGTGGGTGGGAGCTCCTCAAGGTGTTGGTGCTATCCCTTTGGAAGGCTTGTGCCAGACTCTTTCCCTTAGCTTCTGTTGGAGCTATGACCATTTGCTCTTCCCCGAGGCCCTGCCACATTGTGTTTCTATCCATGCCCACACCAGAGGCCCAATCAACACCACTCCCCTGCCACTGCTTGATCTTGGACCTTGAACTTCGAAACTGTGAGGTAAACGAACCTCTTCTTTGTAAGTGGCTCCTGCAGATCATTCATTTCAGTGGCATAAAGCTAACTAACACATATGAGCTGAGGGCCTTGGGAACATATAACTCATTTAGGGTACACACTATATTTTTGTACAAAACTCAGGACGTTAGCTTCCTTTCCTCCTTTCTGGGGAAAGCAGATAGGAAAAAAAAAATCAGGTCCAGCTATCAGCTGATCCCAATAGTAAAAATAAGCCTTTTTTTTTTTTTTTTTTGAGACAGGGTTTTACTATGCAGTTCAGGCTGGCTTTGAACTCACCATTAGCCAAAGCTGGCCTCGAACTTGCAGCAATCCTCCTGCCTCAGCCTCCCAAATGCTGGGATTACAGGTGTGTCCCTCATACCCCACACACTTGTTATTAAAACAGCCTCATCCAGAACCAAACCTAACTAAACCAGGTTGGCACAGGAGATAAAATTCATTTGGCTTCTGAGGACTAACTGGTGAGAAGATGAGCCTTTTACTCAGGCCTGAGTTAATGGGTACCAGACTTGGGGGTCTCCAGGCCTAGGGCCCGAACTGCCTGGCCCAGTACAGCGAGTGACCAGAGGTATTGGTGTTCCGTATGTGGCCCCAGGTATTGAGGACGGTGCTCTGTGCGGATGTCCCGTGTGGGGAAGCATGGGATGGGTGGGAAAGGGGCTGCAGCAGGCTCCCTAGAATGCAGCCCTGCGCTTGGGGTGCAGAGGGAGGAACCCCTTGGCCTCCCTGTGTGGCCAGAGTTGAGGCCCACTCCCAGCTGCCACAGTGACATCTCTGGCCAGGGCTGATGTCCAGACTTGGATATCAACAGCCAGTGTCCCAGAGGTGTCTAAAGTGGACATGGCCAAACCACACTCTGACATCTGCTGCCCTCGCGACACACATACCCTCAAATCTTTACAGCCTCAGGAAAGAGCAGCATGGTCCTCCTGGTTGCTCACAGCCGAAAGCCCTGGAGTCGTCCCTGACATCCCTCTTTTTCTGCCAACCCACGTCCCCTCTGCTAGCAAATCCCATCAGTTCTGCCTGCAGTGTATACCCAGAGTCTCTGTACTTCTCACACCCACTCTGCTACCTTGTTGAGCCCTTGATGGTCACTGTCTCCCCTCTGATACCATGGTAGCCTCCTGGGCTCCCTATCACCCACGCCCTCTTCCATCGTTCATCTCCTCAGAGCAGCCCCAGGGCCTTTGAACACAGGGCAGCTGAGGTCACCTTACTGCTCAGCCTCCTCCAATGACTTTCCAGGCTGCCTGAAGGACAGAGCCTTCTGCTAGCTCCCACCCCAGTCCTCACCTCCAGCCCTATCTCTCAGATCTCACCCATCCTCCGCTCCCCTCCACAACCCCAGCTTCTTTACTGTTCCTTAAAGGGGACAAAGTCCTCCCTCAGCGCCTTAGCCCTCACTCTGCCCACAGGCTCTGCTCCCAGATATCCATGTGGCTCCCAGATCCACACCACTGGCCCCTGCATCTCTTTGGGTTGTTTTTGAGACACTGTCCCACAGTGTAGCCCAGGCTGGCCTCAAATTCCTGACCTTCCTGGAGGTGGGTTCTGCTGGTTGGAGGCTGTGGGGCTGTGCATTAAGAAAAGTAGCCATGGAGAACACTGAAAACTCAGTGGGTGCAAAATTCATTAAAGATTTAGAAGCAAAGATCATACACGAAAGCAAATCAATGGACTCGGAATATCCTTGGATAATAGATACAAAATGGATTATCCTGAAATGGATTTATGTATAATTATTAATAATAAGAACTTTCGTAGAAGCACTGGAATGTCAGCTCAGTCTGGTACAGATGTAGATGCAGCAAACCTCAGAGAAATGAACTGGAAATATGAAGTGAGGAATAAAAATGATCTTACACATGAAGAAATTGTGGAATTGATATGCAATGTTTCTAAAGAAGATCATAGCAAAAGGAGCAGCTTTATTTGTGTAATTCTAAGCCATGGTGAAGAAGGAATAATTTTTGGAACAAATGGACCCATTGACCTGAAAATATTAACAAAGTTCTTCAGAGGGGATCTTTGTAGAAGTCAGCTGGAAAACCCACACTTTTCATTATTCAGGCCTGCCGGGGTACAGAACTGGACTGTGGCACTGAGACAGACCGTGGTATTGATGATGACATGGCATGCCAGAAAATACCAGTAGAGGCTGACTTCTTGTATGCATATTCCACGGCCCCAGGTTACTATTCCTGGTGAAATTCAAAGGATGAATCTGGCTTCATTCAGTCACTTTGTGCTCTGGTGAAATTGTATGCACACAAGCTTGAGTTTGCGCGTATTCTTACTTGGGTTAACCGGAAAGTAACAACAGAATTTGAACCCTTTTCCTACGACTCCACTTTTCATGCAAAGAAACAAATTCCATGTATTGTGTCCATGCTCACAAAAGAACTCTATTTTTATCACTAAAAAAAGGTTGACTTTTTAAAAGTTTGTATGCCAAGTGAGGAAACAATATAAATGGTACTGTATTTCCTTCTCTAACTGAATACTTCAGATGGTAGTTTGAATCATGCCATTTGCCCAGCAAAAGGACCACAATCCAGCTACCTCAGGCTCAAAATCAGGTAGTTGAAATTGAATTTAATAAGGAACAAATAAATATGGATATTGGAATAATCTCATGAAAAGATTATAGTAATTGTACACCTTTCATAATTAGCAACATTTTGTGATGATATGCTATGAATTTTCAAGTAATTATGAGGAACTTGAATATTGCAGGAATGAATTTTAATGATATTCCCCCTACACACTTGAGACTGTGCACTCTAGTTTTTGTCATACTGTAGAAATGATGATGTGGACTAATGTATCTTAGACCTTGAGGATCCATGGGCATGGTCAAAGGTTTGAAGCTTTATTTTAGAACTGATGTATGAAAAGGGATCAAGTGCATTTTAAAATCACTTACAGCTCATGGTTTTTGTGGTGTTTGTTCTGAGAATGTGCTGCTTATAAAAATAGTTATGTTTACTATTGAGAAAGAAAGAATATTTCAGAGAAAGTATGAGTAAACTGAGTTGATTCTTTTAAGGCTAACATGAAATATTTGTGGAGAGACAGAGTCATAACTATAAGGTGCTAAGATCTACCAGCATGTTTCTTCTCATTTGTTCTTATGCAAGTCAGATGAAATTTCTCTTCTTTTTTTTTTTTTTTTTTTTTTGGTACCGGGGATCGAACTCGGGTCCTTGTGCTTGCACAGCAGACAGCAAAACCACTGAGCTAAATCCCTGGCCCAAGTCAGATGAAATTTACACACCAGCAAACTATCTGAAGATCTACTATGTAAAAACCTCAAACTATTACTAACTAGGATGATATGAAGAAATTCTACAGGAACATACTAAAATATCATGTGCATAAGAAACAGTGAAATGTAAAGAAAAAACAGTAAGCGGATCAGCTGGGCAAGCTGTAATTTGAGAGAAGATGGTTTGAGCCTGAGCAGAGATGTGGGTCTGTCCAAACCAGGCAGAGCTACAGATGCCACTTCAGAAAAATCCTGCGAGATGGTTCCTTCAGGTGCATACAGTGTGTGTAGAAGATACTCCCAAGGCATGCGAGAAAGTAAACCAACTGAGAAACTTCTAAAATGAAGCTTTTCTGAAGAGTCACAAAAATTGTAATATTCATTGTAGTATAATTTGTAAGCATGCTCTTTTCTGTTGAAGTTTACAATCAG